AGTACAGCAATAGTATATCACTATTGATTTTTATACGGTTTGTGGGTTTACATGGTGAATTTAATTCACATACAATTGTCGTATACGCTATTCTTTGAGCTTGATGTATAAAACAGATATTTTGTAGGTATATTAATTCTCCGACCATCAAATAATCTTCTGTATCAAAGAATAATTTTTGAAACAAATAAAAAGTAAAAATGTATACAGTTTGTGAGAAAAATATATATTTTTAGTATAAGAAAAAGAAAATTATTAATCAACAAGGTATATTCCATACAACTCCGTGGAAAATACCGACACAAAACTATAATTAGTAGTAAAATAAACAAGAAAAATTAACGCATAGGTATGTTCCCGTAGTCAAAGAAGTACTTGACTACCACGGAAGACCGCTTATTTTCCGATTCTCTCTCTTTTATGAATTTGATTGACCTAATTTAACATAGTTATCGTTCACATACTTTTTTCTTGAATTAATTGTTTATTTTATATTCTAAAATGTTTATACAAACTGTTTCCTATTATAAAATTAATATACAGAGATTGTTTGTTCGCATATTTCATGACCTAAATTTGATATTGTCTAATAATACACCAATATAGCAATTTAACTCATTGTTCTTTTTATCTGAATCATTATGTACTATCATTAAAAATAATCGTTTATTGAGTTATTTATGTGAATCATATATAAAACAATTTTTACTATCTTGAACTATATTCTTACAAAAATATGTGATTTAAATATACATGAATGAAATTATTTTCAAACATTAAATATATATATACACATGAGTATATATCAAAAGCGATGGCACTTAATGGGCCGATAAACTGAGGAAAAAGAAATTATAACCACAGTTTTTTTTTTTTTCAATCGAGTAACGATTGATAAAATTGAGAGAATATATTTCCATGTTATCCTACACTCAAAACTCAAAGGAACGAAACACATAATGATCCGAGCAGTGAACTGATCTTTATTGATATTAAGAAATAATATATATTTAGTTTATTTACTTCTTAATAATTATTTGAAAAAAATTATATTAAAACATTACAAACGACTCCTTGTAAACACTCTTTTTGATTAAATCGGAGGAAATTTGAAAGAAAAAATACAAACAAAAATAAGTAATGAACGGGAAACATTTATCCGATTTCATATTTCATATTCTTGTAAGTATGTAAACTAAATTTGTTAAATATTACTGATAAGACACCAAAATAAGCAAACTTCCCTTATAGTTTAAATAAAAATAAGAAATAATTAAATTATGTAATCACATAAATGTAATGCGATTTCTACTATTCAATAATAAAATTTTAATAGCCTAACACTATAATTTCATTTTAATACTGATTTTCAAAAAAGAGTCCGATAACCATAATTATTATTTACATAGCTAAATAAAAACATTTTTCTACCTATTTAAATGAATTATGTACATTTAAAAAAATAAAATTACTATTGTCGCATTGATTCAGAAAATTTAAATTTTAATGAATACATGCTTAAATAAAAAAATTAAATTATAGACAGTGATTTAAGTTTTAATTCATTTTTTTTTTTAATTTATATATATCGTAAAAAAATATTTGATTTAAAAGTAAAGTTGTTTTATTAATATTAAATTTAACAAATTTGATTAATAAATTACTATATTTAAATTTAAGAATGCAATAGAGAAATGTATTATTTAATAATCTAAAAATACTACTAAATCATCTTGAGAAATGTAATCATTTTAAAACATGTTTAAATCAAAATATTTTTCATAATTTTTGTAGTATACAGAAATTTAATATAATTATGATTGGACTGTAAATAAAAAAGTAAAATAATATAATAAATTAATAGATTATTATAAGTTAATATTTATAATACAATAAATTTTAAACATATTAGTTAAATTAAATTCTATCGTTGAACAATCGTAAACAAATATAGCAGTAAAAAATTCAAAATATAAATTAAATTAAATTGTGTATTTACGTGAAGATAAATATTTTTTTATTTTTTGTTTTTTGTTAAATTTGAAATTACATTATTAAAGTGATATATTATGTAATGTATTATTTATTATTATACATTCAATTTCATATGCAATGAATGATTCAGGTTTTACATACATAATGATTCTACAAAAATTAAAACTTTACTATTGATAAATCGTGTTTATAGTTTAAAGACCTTGTAATCTTTATGTTTCTTTATAAATATTATTTATTTGTAAGTTTTTAGATAAGATTATTTTTTAGTTTTAAAATGTACAAGATATCACAGATAATAGAAAGAATAAAATATCTATTAGGTTGTTACAAGCTTTTTTATTTTTTTGTCTTTGCGTAAAATATAAACGGAACATTTTCGATTACATTTTGATAATATTTATACTCCGATTTCAATGTAACAAATATAGAGATCTCTAAACTTACGTATAAATGTATCATATGCAACGTTATCAAAAATCTCGTACGTAAGCCTTTGTAAGTCTCTATTGATGCAATCATCAATAATTTATCTATAATACTCGTTACGTGCAGAAGAAGAGAGTGGCGAAAACCTATGCACGAGGTTCTGGAATTGCATATTTATTCAAGCGAAAAATCGGAAGCCGCGTCGTTTTATAGACAAACATATCCCCCATAATGACTTCACTTCACATACTCAATGTTTAGTACCAAAAAACCAAATGATAGACATTGGAATTGCCCATTTTTAAAGCTTTTTTTCATACGATCCCGCTATAATAATATTTGTAATTCAAAATACCGTTTGCGACCCGTGACGCGATCCATACATCTTTTAGAAATCAATACAATATCTAGCGGTATTCACTCTTAATTATAAGTAACATTTTTGCATCAGATTCATGGAAATGTCGACCGGTGTTTTATGTATAGAGTATAAATTATAAATAATGGTGTTAAATTAAACTTCGCTGACAGTTAAAAGGATCACGCGTAGTTTCGTACGCGTACGCGTACGCTAGTCATGAAAGAACCCTGCGAAGTAAATGAATTAAGCCGTTAACCTTTAAATTAATCGTGTTAAGTTTGCATCAAGTATAAAGGTGTTATATGCACATTTATCAACAAAAAAAAACAGCATTTTCTTCCAGTACAGTTGTGTTCAACACTTTCTCTTAATCACTTTTATCGGTACATTATATGTAAGCAAAAAAATGAAATATATGTATACACTACAAATATGAAAGCAGATGAAAGTGATAAAAAAAAAAAAAAATTAACATAGGTAATTTCTTGAAGGGTGCGCATATAACAATAGTGACTATCGGAACCAATGGGTTTGATTTGTATACATAGGCACGTTTGTGGACTATAGTGGGACATCTATATCGTTGCATAAATAATGCAGTGCTGGGATTTTAAACCAAATTTTGGGTAACGTAAAGCCAACATGTGACGTGATTTTGAACGTTTAAATATTTAAATAAAATGAAAATCTGCATTAAATATACCCAGGGTGAACGCACGTATTGATAAAATAATCGCTATTTAAGGGTTGTGCACGTATACAATATGAATATAGTACGTTAATGTGTTTTGGAACTCATTGGAAATGAAACTGCACGCATTATTTAAGGAATCCAATATTTGTACCACCTTCTCCCGTTCCATATCGGTTATATACAAATGGTAATCCTACGCATTTGCACTGTAACTGTCTTTTTACAGAACTATATACATGTCCACTCCGTCACATGTCTACTCTACTATTTTTCGCGAGTTTAAATATGTTCCAGTCAAAAACTCATTCGATCTGATAACTTTTGAAAATCATCATTGTATGTAACACACTCCAAACAATACAATTGAAAACAAACATATTAAGCTTTTTCAACTGATTAAATGTAGTAAAATATAACATAATTATATATATTTTTTTTTGTTTTCAATTAATTGTTTATTATATTATTATTTTTTTTTCCATTTATTTCCATAGGATTCTTATATTCAGTAGCGTAGTGTGTGCGTATGCTGTGAATGTACAGTATTCACTTCACAAATTGAAAAAATAATTTTTTTATATTAATAATGTAATATTTTTATAAAAAAATGTTTGATTGTATTAATTTAATATTTTGTATATTTCTTCTAAATTGACTAGGATTGATTAATCCGCAACACTACGGCCTCGTCGCACTATTGTCCGTTATATTTATATCTAATGGCTAGTACCTAACATGTAACATGTTCATTATGTACGCAGTATGCACGTTGGCGATTGCATTCGGATACAGACATTCAGCGACAGCTATTTATATTTCTTATCGATAATATTAATAACAAAATAGAATGTTCGCGGTCGTGTTTTCGTCACTCGTGTATGCAGGATCAGTATTGCATACGCTATCGTATAGAACCGTCTATCGCGTATTTTACCGGCTATAATGCTATATTAAACAATTATTATTTAAAGTTGTAAAGTGCGTATTATTAATTGTATATTATAAGTGTGATATATCGTTTTTAAATTAAAACTATTTAAACTAAATAAACAATAATGAATACAGATAACACAATATGTGAGTGTGAAATTGAAAAATTATTTTTAAAGCCTTCAGTTCACTCAATTTTGATGAAAAAAAAAACATAATTGAGTTAGGAAGATCCACACCAAAATTACCCGATTTAGCGACAAAATCAAAAAATTATGTTTGAACATTTAAATATGATGTCTACAGTACATATAAGTGGTTATCGGGTCGTAAAAAAACAAATAAGCTATATTGTTGGCCTTGTGTTATTTTTCTCGTGAAGAAAATGTTTGGACCAAATATGATTTCAACGACCTTAATAATTTTTATCATTTAAAAAGTCGTCACGAAGCCGCTAAAAATCACATACAATGTTTAATAGATTTAACTAAATTTGGTAAATAAGAATAGGTACTTGTTTGAGTGAAGCTTTTAGAAAAAATATCGAAAAACATAATTACAGTTAAAAATAATAGATACATATTAAGCAGTATGATAGATTCAACGTATTTTTTAGCTCAGCAAGAATTGGTATTTGGAGGCCACGACAAGTCAGATTTATCTGTTAATAGGGGTAATTATGTTGAACTTATTTACTTAATGGCCCAGTGTAATGAGTTGTTAAAAACACATCTTGCAACGTCCACTATATTAACTGGTTTATCCGAGGACATTCAAAATGACTTGATTCAATCAATTTCAAATGTTCTTCTTAAACAAATTGAAAATGAAATACGTGATACTCCGTTTGTTGCAATAATTATGGACGAGACAATTGATATTATTACAAAGTCACAGTTATCAACAGTGTTGCGTTATGTTAATACCATAGATGGTTACGAAGTTTTCGAAAGATTTTTGGGATTTACTGATGTTAGTGAAAATCAATCAGCGAAACCATTATCAGAGCATGTATTTAGTTTTATTTCAAAGTATGTATGTGAAGAAAAATTAATAGCTCAAACGTATGATGGGGCAGCTGTTATATCCCGGCAACATAATGGTTTACAATCATTAGTGCGTTCGAAGTATGAAAATGCTATTTTTGTACATTGCTATGCACATTAACTAAATATTGTCTTATAATAGTCAGTTGAGTATATTAAGGTTGTAAAATATTTTTTTAACCCTTTTTGATTTATCGTCTTTTTTTTTCAAAATCTACCAAACGAGTATATGCACTTGATAATGTAGTTAAAAAACATTTTTTATCAGTAGCCCGAACAAGATGGAGTAACAATAGTCGTCTTATTCAAATAATGGTTGAACATAAACTAGATGTTATAAAGCTAAATCTAATGGAATCAATCATAGAGAATGCCTAAAATTGGGACTCGGAAACATTGTCTTCTGCTAAAGGGTACGTGAAAATTCTTCAACGTTTTGATTTCAATTTTTTTCTTAAATTATTTTCAATCATTTTACTACAAACAACGATTATTTTTGAAATTTTACAAAAAAATTTTTTTGATATATCTTATTACTCAAAAAAGATTGACGATTTCATTGTTTATTTAAATATTGTCAGATCAAGGTTTGATGATATTTGGTCACAGTTATAAATTATAAACAATGAAATACAGCCTCAAATTCATCGTTCAAAAAGGCAAAGATTTAATTAAGTTACATGAGATACAAAAACTAATTACAGACGATTATTTTTTGAAATAATTGATGTTATAATTAATAAGACAAAATAACGGTTTTCAAATCTTAATCAATTACAATTTTTCGCATTATTAGACTTTAAAAAATTTAGTCTATAACCTAATGATTTTCCTATAAACTTATTCAATTCGTTGAAACAATTATACGGTAAATATTTTGATTTACCCAAATTGAGAAATGAACTTTTGGTTATCTACTCGACCAAAAAATTTCAAAAACCTTATGTTCACGATCTTTTAATTTATTTAAAAACCACAAATTTAGAAAAAAACTTACCACAAACAACAAAATTGATTTCATTGTGTAATGAACTGAACACGTCGAGTTTTATCATTACAAAATAAGTTTATTTATAAGCATAATAATTTTACCAGAATGGATAAAGATATATGTATGAATACATAATAAAATATAACATAACATTTAACATAACATAAAATTTAACAAAATATAACATTTAACATAACATAAAATTTAACAAAATATAACATTTAACATAATAAGTAATATTTAATATGTTTATCACTTACGGCTCTGTAGCACTTTGAAGTAAAACGATAATTTAAATTATTCAATGTTGCGGCGTAAAAGGGGACACGAATGTATTACGGAGCCTTATAACAACGAAAAATAAAATAGTCAATGGTGTGGGGTATTAAGGCCACACCGGACTATTAATTTACTCACACAACTTTAAATTTAAAAAGAAAATGATTTACGCGCCGAATATGTTATTGAAAACTGATATTATTTTGGTGGGGAACGCTGACATCGGTGGGGAGATACTTTTAGGCCAGGCAGTCCGACAGACGGGGTTTTAAGGCCGTACCCTGGACTCTGAACCTTAAGAAATATCTCGCAATCGTTATTTGGTCAGAAAGATGTAACAAATTGGTCTGTCGGTCTCATATATATGTGTATTTGGTGTTTATTGATTTAATTTCCCGGGTGAGTAAAAGGTACATGTTTTATTTAATAAGTTTTGGTAGATTAATGTATATTATATTTGGAGATATGTATTTATTGTGCACTGTAGGCGTTTCTGAATTTTACTATTTATTTACTGTTAAAGAAAGTTAAAAGTTTATTAATTGTATTACAAATTTTATGTTTTTTAATATTACATCGCGCCAGCGCTATCTACCGTCGTTGCAGTGTGAGATCGACGGGTCGATGCGTGACGTCATGAGATACCAGTGGCGCGGCATAGCGGATGGTAGTAGGTGTGTGTGATCGTTACAATTGATACTATCTATTCCAGCTACTAGTGCATCAACAGAATGTTCATTCTCGGCCCTTAATAGGATTAAGAATTCATCAAAAAATTCTCAAGAACAAAATCGTCTTTCATCATTATCAATTTGGTCAGTAAAAAAAATTATTGGTAGAGTTGGAAAAAAAATCTACGTTTCATGATGAAGTAATCAAAGCTTTCCATACTAAAAATAGAAGAATTGATTTAATATATAAGTAATTTTGTAGTTAATAATTTTTTTTATTTATAAAAAGTGATTTATTTTATATATAGGGTGGTGTGGGGGGTTACGTCCCCCAAGATTTTATTAACTTACAACTTCAATGCATACACTAAGCTGAAACGTACGCTATGCCACTAATTATATTATTATACATTGTTGTTGCATTTTTTATTTAATACGTTCTGTTTATGACAGCTATTTCGTTTATCAATTTTCATTTCTAATGAATCAGTATTTTTATTTTTACTTTATAACCGTGCGAATAGTTAAAAATATATTGTTTTCCATGACAAAAATAAAAAATCATTATACTATTTAAAATTTGATATAACATCATATAAAATTATGAATATTATGTAGACAATCAATTGTATCTCAGTTTAAGTTTGAATTAAAATTAAAATTAAAATGAATCAAACAAAAAGCGAGAGTTTATTTGTTTATAATAAGTATATATGTATATATGTATTTACTATGTGTAGTAAAATAAATCAGTTTCATAATTATTAAAACATAATATTAAAATTAAAAAAAAAAAATAAAAAGAAAGATTTATTAAATATAACTGAAATCTGAATATAATATAATGCCATTAAGAAATCTATCGCTGAATCATCGATGATATATTTACGTACTGTTTTTCTCATTTTTTTGATTAATAATTGTGTCAACATGGAATGACACTCTTAGAGTAAGTTGGCAAACAATGTAAGTAGATATGACGAAAAATGTTTATTTTTAATTTAATTTTAAATAATGTAATGGAAATTAAATCATTTAATTTCCCACTCTAAAATATTTTTGACATACACCAACTGACAGATATAATAATCATGAAGATTTTATTAAAAATGTGGTAAGTATAATATCAATAACATATATCTTTTGTGATTTATAATAATATAACATGTTTTTTATTACTATAACATATTTTAAATTATTAAAATGTACCTAAAATATTATCAAGGGTTTTTATTTAATTTATATATTAGTTATAATAATTTTAAGCTCAGATTTTAACAAAATAATAGGTCCTTTAGAATTTATAACATATTAATTTTTGGTGACTGATTTTTTTTTTTATTCTTCATTACATTTAAATGGTTATAAATCATCTGCAGTTCAAATGCTTTCAATTATTTATTTCAAACGTTCGACATAATTTTGAATACCCAAAATTGATTTTTATTTTTGGTGAATGCAGTAAAGACGAAAAAAATAAACAAATTTTATAAGTAAATTTAAATAAAATAATATTTTAAAAAACATTCAAATATTTTACATAATTTCCACAATGAAAGAAAATTTAATATGATTCAAATGTATTATTTGAAAAAATTAATTAAAAAAAAAATAGATATCTGCATACGTTAAACGTAAAATTTATACACAAAAATTATACTCGATATGTATAAATTAAAAAAAAAAAATTCTTAATAATTATTTCAGTACTTCCATGATTATAATATTGAAAAAGATCAGAATGAGTTTCAATTTTTTTTTTTTTTTAATATCTATTCTTTTTTATTGTATCCTTTGATTTCTTCATTATATGAATAACTTATATTTTTAAACATGGATTTGTTGAAATAAAAATATTTCAAAGGTTATTCATTAATATATTAATTTAAAAGCCAAAAGTATAAAAATAAATAAAATATTTTATTTTATCTAAGTATTTGTATTTTTAATAAATTTTCTTAATATGTAAAATGACATCAATGTTGAATTGTATAGAAATATAATATCTTAAAAATTTTATTTAATACTTAATAAAAACTATCAATCATGGTTTACTAATATTTATACATTTATGTCAAGTAACAATTAAATTTTCTTGCGTTTATTTTAAAATAAAATAAACTACAAATTGATTTATATTTGACAGTACATAATATTTTTGTATGGCTTTATTTTTCTAAAATCAATATTTAGCAGATAAATAAATTATCAACTGATGTATAAAGACTTTTTATCCTATATTTTATGACTTTTGATTTTTTCTTTCAGGCAACGTTTATTTATTTTCATGTTAGTTTTTATTACTTTTATTAAAAATTAAACTTTTTTACAAGATTTAAATAATTATACAATCACTAGATTAAAAATGAATATTATGATAATTGTATTATTATAATTAATAAATATTCATAAAATTTTCATATAAATAAATTATATCCATAAAATCAAATAATTCTAGCATAAACAATTTATACTAAAAAAGTTAAATAATATTATTAAATATATAAATTATTTAAGAGCATCAAAAATTATTTTTTATTTTTTCATTTTATGTTGTAAACAGAACATGTTTTTGTTATGGAGCTTAAAATTAGAATAAGGAATTTTTAAAAAAATATATTTGTTAAAGATTTATTTTAAATTATTATTATTATTATTATTTTAAATGTAAGTGGGAACAATACAAAACGGATAATTTTATTAAGCTTTGTGTTGACTCAAATCAAAATTCACACAATTTTAAGCTAGAAAATTAAATAAAATATATTTATGTAAAATATCATATATATATTTACAAAATATAATTTAATCTTGGCTTTTATGGTGTAGTGAATTTTCAAACTTTGTACATAATAAATTGCAATTACCTAGATCTATTTCATTTTGCATTCAAAATGAAACATCTTATGCATATATATGATCTATAAATTAATAATTTTAAAAAGTACATGAAGTAAATAAATATTTAATTTAGTGAACTTAACGCTAGCTGAAATAGCTCTATATAAGCTGATAATAGTTTTT